CAGCCCCAGTTTCACACAGAGCTTTTGTCATTGGAAGTGTGACAAAACCAGAATCCCAGAGGAGAAAGCAGTATGCAGGCTGAATGGCTGGGAAGCAGCGTGGAGCACAGTATTCTGCTCTCCCTGAAAGCCCTGCTGCAGGCCAGCCCACCAAAGGGTCCCTCTTTTGGCCAAGTATTTTATCAACTCATTTGTTCCCTTTCTCTTTCAGTTCTTCAGAAATCTGGCTCTGCAAAGGAGTTTTTCAAAGCCACCGTTTGCTTCTTGTCCCAGGCTCACACGGCCCAAGCAGACCCTGGTAGCCGTGGCTTGGCTCTGGCCGTATCCCCTGCCTACGTGAGTGCCTGGGATGACATCCGTGAGCTCTGGTTCCTGGCGATGCAGGCCTTGGCCAGCTGCGTGCCTCTCTTCCCCTGGCTGCCAGAAGCTGTGCTCCAGGCACAGTGGCTGGAGGAGCTCTCAGAGTTGCTGACACGCGTCTCTGCAGCCTCGGTGGATTTTGAGCTCATTGCTGCTTTGCAGGGTGTGCTGGTTGAGCTGGCCAGAGCCAGCGAGCCGTGCAGGGAAGTGATCCTGTCACACCATGGGGAGGAGTGGGCCAACCTTTATGGGATGGCAGCTCTGGAACAGTGTCTGTCCAAGCAATAAAGAGCCGTTTTTCAGCAGCGCCCTGGTGTGGGACATGAAGCCAGAAACACCTGCAGCGTTCCTCGTGCACCTTTTGGTGCCACTGAGGACAAGAAACATTTAAGTGACCAACTTCATTAAGTCAGCAATGCAGCAGAGCTGTGCAGGATTTTCTCTGTCCAGAACCCGACGCACACAACTATTGCTGCTCCAGAACATTTCCAGATGTACCTCGTTTATCTTCTGTCAGCGTTTTGTTTTAAAACCAGATCATTTGACTATTAAAGAGGTTTTCTGTTCCTTTTCCAAACATGCAACACTGGGATTTCTGCCCAAGGCCCTGAGAGGTTTCCTCTTTCTCTAACACACTTCCCAATTTCGGCACCCCTTCAGGATGTCACCTTTCTTTCTGCGAAAGCCCTGCGTGTCACTGAAGTGGTTTTGCACAACGGGTAGAAGACTGCAAAAAAAGCAGCAGCGGGAAGAGCTTGAACTTTTAACAGTAACAGCAAGGATAACTATGAAATTCAGCAGCAATCTGTCCCTTTCTAGATGTGTGGGGGGTGCAGAAAGGCCCTTCTGTTCTGATAGTGCTATCGTCCCAAATTCACCCTGTAACAGCTGCACGAGGCTTTGTGATGTTTGTTTGCTTACACTCTTTGCTGCAGGGATGGATGTGCAAGGGTTGCTTCCTTCTCTTGCAGGGAAGAGGGGTCGTTCAGCCTGCAAAGCCCTTCCTTCTTTTTAGAGCCTCTGGTAAATGCTATGAAAACAAAATCAAGCAAACTACACCTCAGCATCTCAGCAGATGGAGAATTACCGTTTGATTTATGGCAGAAGGAACCCAGGTGTAAAAGCACACGCACCTGTACGGTGGAGGAATAAACCATCAGGGCTTTGTCAGGGTGCCCTGGAAGCAAAGGCAGCCGCCTGGCTGGGGCAGAGCAGGAGCTGGACGAGCCGAGGATGGCTGCACCCAGCCCGCAGCTCCGCCAGCGCGTTTCGAGGCATTTCCACCAGGTGTCAGCATAGGAGCTCTGTGGGAGAGGCAGCCCGGCTGGCAGCCGGACGCGGCACGGATCTTGCTGCCCTGCATGGTTGGGGGCTGCGGGATGGGATGATGGAGAGAAAAACAGGCGGGGAGCTGCCCCGAAAGGAGGGCTGACTACAGGGAGCCCAGCTTAATGCACATATCCAGCTCAAATTCATCAACACCAGCGCCTTGCATAAGCAGAGAGGAGGCATCTGCTGTTGATCAGGTATCTTCCTGATCTCACCAGCTCAGCCCTGAAACGTTAATGCAAGTTGAAACAAAGGTAGGTGCTACCAGCAAGCAGAGCAAGCCAAGCAAGCAAATGAGAGTGCTGGAGTGGGAAAAGAGCAAACCTGGTGTGCGTGGGCTGCAGGCCTCCCATCCTGCCAGGAGCAGCTCATCCTGCAGCGCAGGGCGATGGAAACACGTCTCAGAATCGTCAGGAATAAAATAATCATCACAATCCAACCCATCAGATGCTTTAACCTCAGCTCTTCTCAATCCCACACAACGCAATGCTTCCAACTGAAGGCTGTGGGCTTGCTAATCAAAGGCTATCGTTAGCATTAATGAGAGATAGGTGGCTGTATCAGCAAGTGGGAGCTCCCCAGTGCCCCCAGCTCAGGGATGTTTGTGTAATGCTGGGCTGACAGCATTAGCCCCACATTGACCTGGCCCCATCCAGGACCAGAGCAGTCCCACACCTCAGGTGCCACCCTGTTGCCTTCAGTGCCCAAGCAAACTGCCTGCTAACACCCAGCTGCGCTCCCTGGCAGCAAACCCAGAGCCCCAGAAATCCTCCAAGTGCTGGGCAGCAGGTTTGAGCTGCGTTAGTCCCAAATTCAGCACAGCGGCCCATGGTGTGAGGACCATCCAGAGCTGAACCCACTCAGGGATGCTCAGGACACAATGCATCATTTTCCTTTCTGTGCCATGAAATGCCTTCCTGAAGGCCAGCAGAGGACAGGGTGAGGATGAGACAACCCTCTGCTCAGCCAGAGCCCCCTGTGGGCTGATCCCCTGCCCAGACTGACCAGCTCTATCTCCAGGCTGACCCCCCAGGCTCTGGCAGAGCAGCACAGCCCAGGAGCAGCGCATGGCCTCATGCCGTGGGGCTCTGCCACCCAGGGCTGTGTCCACCTGCAGGTCTGCCAGCGCTGCTCGTGGTGCAAAACATGGGCTGCAGCTGGGCTGGAGCTCTGAAGGTGAGCCGCACTGAGCTCTGCCAGCCCAGCTATGGGTGCTGCTGCCAGGAGCTGCTGTGCCCCTCACAGAGCAGGACTGCAGGAGCTGGGGCAGGCAGCAAGCAGCGCGTTGTCTACCAGCCCATCTGCAACACCGGGGCGAGCTCTGCAGGAACCAATCCCTTCCCACAGCTTGGGCAACATGCAAAAGGCCCCAAAGGAGCAGAGGCACATCCGCCACAGCTAAAATGTCACCATTCCATTGCAAGCCCTACCTCGGCGTGTTTTACCTCACCGTGTCTTCGTGTCATCCCAAGAGCACTGGCAAGCAGATGAGGACTTTCCTAAGGCTGCTCTCTGGCACTGCGGGAGCCTCGTGCTGCAGGAGGGGATGGGGGCAGTGAGGGTCTGCCCAGTGCTGCATGTTCCCATTTGAGGATGGAAGCACAACTTCCCCACTCGCCGCATTCCGCAGGTTCACCTCTTCCAGATGAATAAAGAGTGGGCATTATTGAGGGACTCTAAGAATGAACTGGAACATCGCTGCGAAATACAGCATGTCCAATCCGATTTTTCTCAGCAAATGAAACGGATCTGGTGGAAAATAAACACGGGACTTTCAGGAGCAACGTCCTTGAAAAGCATCGGGGGGGGGGGGCTGGAAAGATGTGAGCACATCAGTCCTTTACCTCCTCATACCCCTCCTCCCTCTCCTAAATGCCGTCTTTAACAGAAATAAATTAGAATAAATGATGAGTCTTTGCCTCCTAAAGACAGGTGGCGGGGTAATATTGAAAGAAATGAATAAAAATTCGTTTAATGAGCATTGTTAATTAAACCTGGAAATCAAAGAGGTCTGAGATGTGGGAATTCAGAGGAAAAATGAAAATGAAGGGAGCCGTAGCTCGGGGCAGGAAGAGCGGAATTAAATTAAATGTAATGTGGGATTGTGTTTGTTAACGTCTATCACACATCACAGTGTATTACAGTTTAGGGTAAAGTGTTTGTTCTCTGCTCGCACACAAATTACGCTCTGCCATGAATTGGAACTCCGGCACGGCGATGGGCAGCGCGGTCCCGGCACGGTGAGGATGCGGGACCGCGGAACCTGCATGCGTGCGTGCGGCTGCGTGTGCAGGAGCGCCAGGGCGAGCGTGCAAACGCGCCGATGTGGGTCGGTGTGCATCAGTGTCTGCTTGCGTGTGAGCATCGGTGTGGGGTAGCGCGGTGCCGAGAAAACCCCCGGCACCTCAGAGCCGGAGCCCCGTGCCACGCGCAGGGACACGGCGCTGCCACGCTGCGACCCGAAGGGAGGGCGCAGAGAGGAGGAGGGAGGGATGGAGAGGAGGAGGGACGCATGGAGGACAGAAGGGAGGGCCGCTGGGCCGAGCGAGGAGCGCACGACGCCGCCCGCTCTCCGCTTTCCCCTCTCTCTGTCGCTCCGCAGCGCCCTCCGTCCCGCCCGTCCCCTCGGGCAGCAGTCGGTCCCGTAGCGCCGCACGTTCCTCTCTCCCTCTCGTTCTCTCTCCGGTGCCCGTCGGGCAGAAGTGAGGAGCGCCCCGGGGGGATCCCCGGGCTCTGTCCCTGCCCCGGGCACTGCTCCGGCCGCCGCCGTCGGGCAGAGGATTCCGGGCTGCCGCCGGCGGCTCCGACACACCGCTCGGGTTAATAAAGCGAAACCGTCGGGCCCCGCCGCTCCCCGCACCCGCCCCCTCCCGGCCCTCGGGGTTCTCCCCTCGGGGCTCTCGGGGAACGTGACCCGGGGCGGTGGGTGCTGACGTCGGGGGGAGCCCCGGGGGGGTGACGCGGGAGCGGCGCGTGCCCGTGGGACAGGGGAGCCGCGCGGCCGTCCGACGGCGTCGGAGGGGCCCCGGCCGCCCTTCTCCCCCTCCGCCCGTCGGGAGTCGTCGGGGCCCCGCGGGAGCGGGCGGCGCGTTCCCGGCCCCGCGCACTGACGCGCGCCCCCGGCGCGGCGGGCGCGCCCCCGCCACTATAACTGGAGTGCATGGAGTCGGGGCCGGCGCAGAGGAGCGGGCGGGCGATGGGAGACGCCGCTCCGGCGGGATAGAGGGGCGGAGACGGGGGCACCCCCGGGGCCCGGCCCGCCCGGGGCTCGCCGTGGGCCCGCACAGATGCTGGTGCACAGCTACCCGGGCATGGTGAGTGTGCGCAGGGCCGGGCCGGGGGTCGGGCCGGGGTCGGGGCCGGGACGTGGGATCTGGGACCGGGGCTCCGCTCTCCTCTCACCGCCGCTGTCTCCGCCGCCGCAGGACCGCGCCGAGGGGCTGCCCGGGGCGTCGGCCGGGGCCCGCCTGCCGCAGCTGCCCGCTCTCAACCAGACGCCCTACGGCTCGGCTCCGCCGCTCTGCCACACGCCCGCCGCCGACTTCCAGCCGCCCTACTTCCCCCCGCCATACCCGCAGCCGCCGCTGCCCTACCCGCAGGGCCAGGAGCCCGCTTACCCGCACCTGGCCGACCCGTACGCGGCGCTCAGCCCGCTGCACCAGCACCAGCAGCCCGCCTGGCCCCCGCAGCGCTCCCGGCAGGACGACGCGGGGCTGCTCTCGCAGACGCACCGCGCTCTGGGACTCGACCCCCGCCGCGAGTATCCCGCCGTGCCCCGCCTGCTCCACGGGCTGCCCGACGGCGGGCACGGCCTCCCCGACGGCCCGCTGGGCCTGCACGGCCTCGGGCACCACGGCCTCGAGGAGATCCAGGTAGCGGGGGCTCGGGGGGAGGACGGGGGGTGGGCGCGGGGGAACGCGGCCGGATCCGGCTCTGGTGCCGGGAGCGACCCTGCGGGCAGAGCGGGACCCCGGGGCGCTCGGACCCCCGGGCGAGGAGCGTCCTGCCCCGCTACCGGCAGGGAGCGCGCAGCGAGCGGCCGCCGAGAAGCCGGGCCGACGCTCCGCTCCTTCCCCCGGGGCCGCCGTGCCGGGGCTCGGCCGTAGCCGAACGATTTCATCGCGCCGCGGCCTCGCGGTCGCCCCGCGCCCAGCAGCCGGGAGCCGCGCCGGGAGCCCCCGCTGATGGCTTTTACTTTGGTGCTTCCAGGCGGCGGACGACGGCGGGATGAACCTGCTCGATCAGTCCGTCATCAAGAAAGGTAAGAACCCGCGGGACGCGGCGCCGGGCCCGGCTCCTGCCCTCGGGGCTCCCTTCCGTCGGGTCCCCCGCGACGGCCGGCACAGCGCGACTCGGGAAGGGGGATAATTGGGGCGAGGAACCGGCGCGGTGTTCCGGCTCCGGTGCTGCTCGGAGGTCGCTGCTACACCCGGCGGCGAAACGAACGCGGCGGATCCCGGCGGGCCGAGCGCACACGGCTACTGGAGAGCCCCGACGGCCGCGGGCGGTTCGCAGTGGGAGCCCCAGTGGGACCGGAGCGATGCTGGGGGTGCAGCCGCGGTCCCGCAGCTCGCCGGGAGCGGGGAGGACGCATTGAACGGGGCCGAGGCGGTTCCGAGTGGGGGTGAGCCGCCTCCTGCACGATTTTGCTGCCGATTTTTGCCGACCCTTTGCTTCCAAACACGGCAATAGTTCCACTCCGTAAAATAGTTTTTCTCATTAAAACATCGTCGGGGCACTGTTGGGAGCGAGAGGAGCACGAGGGACCGCTGTGCCGCACGGGGTGAGAGCCGCACGGAGCAACCGGGCGCTGCTGTCGGCGTTTTTAACAGCAGCGGGGAGAGGGAAAGGAGCACAGCGTGCGGGTGGCGGCCCGGACAGCAAACGAAAGATGCGGGATCGACACCGCGCGGGGGCTGCGGGGGCCGGAGAAGCGGTGCAGGCGGGGAGCCCCGGCCCTGCGCGATGCGGCGCTGCGCTCTCGGATCTCTTCCCTGCCCCCCGTTCCGTGTAAATGGGAGTTCAGCGAATTCGTGACACGCGGAGCACGAATGGACCGTCATTATTGGAGCTCTAATTGGAACACGCGTGAGGGTTTGCGTGAAATGGTCGCGGTGTGCGCTCCGCTCCGCGCCTTCCCTTTTGTGTGTGCGGGCGGCATCGGGGCGCTTCTGGAAGATGCTTTCAGGGACGGCGTTTGCGCGGAGTTCGGCTGAAACCAGCGCTCGTTTTCATTGATTTTTGTCCATATGCGTGGTTTGTTTTGCTACGTTTTGTTTTCCTCCCTTTTCCAAAACGGGCGCCTACCCCCAAATCTTCGTTTGCCGTCGGGAGGAATTATTGCTCGGTGCCACGTTTGGACCCGGAGATCCTTCGGTTGCTCCGTTCGGATATAAAAGGTCTCACGGCGCGCTGCTCTGTGCCTGGGGCGCCGCGTCTCTTCCCATCCGTTCTTTATTTTTCCGCCTTGTTTGGAAGAAAGATGCGAACTCTTTGTGGGTCGGGGGCTCCCCGGCGGCTCGAAGCGTTTGCGGGAACAGCCGCGCAATGAGCGCCCGCGGTGCAGAGGGGCGACTCCGACCTCAACTGACGGCTCTCCGTTCGTTCTGAGATACATCGTGGTCTCATTTAATTTAATTTAATATTATTGTGATTTATTTTGCGGCTCTGCTGTGAGCCGCGGCCCGGACCCCCCGAAGCCCAACAGCAAACCCCTTTTTTTTTACCGTACGCCCTCAGAAAAATAAAAGCGGTGGCAGAGAATCCGCGGTGCGGGCGGCAGTGGGGCGGACGGGAGGGTGGACCGGGGGGGAGCAAATATCTCCGTGGGAAGCGGAAGAAATTCAGTCCTAAATCCCCAACACCGCACTGGGGGCATCAATGCCCCAATTCCTCGCCGTGCGGCCGTCGGACGGAACCCCGATGGAAACGCGTGCGGCCCTGAGCCCGCAGCTGCCCTTCGTGAGCCGCCGCCGTGCTGCGATCCCGGGTCAACCAAAGCCCGATCGCTGCCCCAAAGCGACCTCAGCTCCGCCGTGGGGGGCAGCGAACGCACAGCGGCTGCGGGGAGCGGTGCGGGACGGGGAGAAACGCGCTCCGATATTTGCGGCTCTGCGTTTCGTGTCCCCCCCTCCCCGCTTAAATAAACGGCTTCGGCGGCTCTTAGCAGGGATTTTTTACGGGACTGCGAGCAGAGCGCTGCGCTCGGGGCCGTTTTGCTGCATGAAAGGGGACAGAGAGAGTGGAGGGGGGGGGGGCAGCGGGGATCCCCCACACCGCACACAGGGGCTGCATCGCTCCGGAGGGTTACGTGAGCAAAGCCCTGCGTGGGGCAGCGCCGGTTTTCTGGCTGCCCGTTCTGGCCCCGTTTGTTTGTTCTCTCTCTCTTTTTTTAAGAAGCAGTGCAGAAATGGTTTTTTGGTTTTTTGTTTTTCCGGTGTCTTTTTTTTTGTTTTGTTTTGTTGTTTTTTTTTTAAACGGTGCTTTTGGGTCGATTTGGTTTTTGTTTTTTGCTTTTTCCTCCCCCCCAAGCGTTTCTGTAAGACCGGGAATATAATGGATGTAAAAACATTATTGTGAGCTCTGAAAAAGTTCCGTCCGTGGCTCCATCTGCGTGCAGCAGGGTGGCATCTTCCAGCAATGGACCCCAGCATTCTGCCGTTGCATTTCGTAGCAAAACAAAAAACAAACCTAAAACAAAACCCAAAACCACAAAAAAAACCCCAACCCTTCAGCTTGGTCGTAAAATAAGGAGGAGTTTTATGGCCTCACCGTTCTCTCGGGCTCAGCAGAAGGCTTTTGGTGGAGCCTTTTTATTCAGAAGGAGAACAAGAAATCCCTCTTCCCAACACGGTGCTGCCTGTGGGGTTGGGGGAGCAGCGGGGGGGTCCCTGTGAGCAGAAGGCTTTGGCTGCTCGGCTCTGCTTCGCGTCTGTGAGCAGCAGGGATTTCCATAGGAAGGTTTTCGGCCGCCCCGCAGCAGCGGTGCAGGAATGCGGAGCTGAGCAGGGAGCTGGGCAGGACGGGGCAGGGGCTGTCAGCGCTCGGGAGCACGGAGGGCTGCGAGGCTGCGAGGCTGCGAGGCTGCGAGGCCTTTCCCCCTGTTGGGTCTGGTGGGAGCAGAGCCGCCGCTCTCAGCTCCATCCGTGGCCGAGCACAGAGCCAGACGCGGCGGCAGAAAAGCGCTCTGCCGCTGGCAGCAGATGAGATAAACATCATTTCCTGCGATGGGGGAAGGCAGTGAATGAGGTCACCCTATAAAACACCTGGGGCTGCGAGGACTTGTTGCTCTCCGGGCTGCAGCAGCTGCGGGTGGGACGCGGTGCTGTGAGGCTGCAGGGCCGGGCTGCGCGCTCAGCTCCGCTCCCACCTCCAAGACGCGGCGCATGCAGGAACACCTCCTATCAAACAGCAAAAACTTGAAAGAAAGTTTTTCGCTCTGAACTGAGTCCAGATCGCCGTTCCTCCATTAACATTATATTTGTAATGTCCTGTAATTGCGCCGGGATAAACCCAGGTGTGTGTTCATGTGAGATAACACGCGGAGGTGCTGGTGGAGGTGCTGGGCTTTGTCTCAGCCTTCCCGGTGCCTCCCAGGCATGTGTTATCTCCGAGTTTCATATACCTTGTCATGACTTACTGCTTAATTAGATGTTTCTAAATGAATATTTTGTTTTGTTCCAAGCAAAGAGCAGCTCTTACAGGGGAGGTTTGGTGAAGCCAGCTGGGGTTGCTTGTTGGCGTGTGGCTGGTGAGTCAATCAGCAGGAGAGGGGCTCCGGGTGAGGTTTGCCCATAGGATGGGGCCGGGGTGCCCTGGAGATGCTCCTGCAGAGCAGTGCTTTGGCTGCTCCTGGGCACATGGGACCCAGTGGTGGACGGTCGGCACGAGCTGCTTGTGGGGAGGGATGTGGGCAGCAGCAGCTGCTCCGATGGGGAAAACTCAGTGCCTCTGGGGAGGCCTCTCCTGTGGGCACTGGATTGCAGGGTGACATTTCTTCTGCTCCTTGCTGAAGTTCCTGGCCCAAAACTGGGGCTCCCGTGCTCCATTTTGTGCCCAGCACTCCAAACCTTTGCAATGCAGCCCTTTCTTCTCCACTCACCCAGCAGATCCTCCACTTTCCCCCTCCTGCTGTGCTGCTCGAGGGAGGTATCGTCCCCTGCCCCCCCCCCCAGGCTCTGCTGGGCTGCTGGATGCAGCTCACAGTGCCCATTCTCCAGCCACAGTGCAGACTGCCTGCTTGCAGTGTGCTCCCATAGGCGTGCAGGCAGCCGTGCCCAGGGAGGTGGCCCTGAGGCTTTGCTTTGTAGCAGTGCCATGGTGTGGGGGCTCAGTGGGGCAGACCTGGGGGCTCTGTGCCACCTCCGTGAGGCAGAGGCCAGCGTGGCCCATTCCTCCTTGTTCAGCAGTGATCTGAGATCTGTGATCTTGGACAAAAAAAATATGCGTGCAATCCGTCTTAATTTTTTCAAGAGCCCAAACGTGGCTCTCTGAAGTTGCAGACTAGAGCCCTGACCACGGAAGCCTTCCACCCTTTCCTGTGTGATCCTGGGGAATAATTCGTTCTTGCTGTCCTTCCGTGTGTTTGTTTATTTTAATTCCTAGTGGAGGAGCTAATTAGCAAGCGTGGAGGTAAAGCGTGGAGCTGCTGCGTGCTCAGCTCTCATCTCAGTGTGCAGCACCAGGTCTGCTCTGTTTGGGTATCAAAGAGAGGAGGGAGGAAGAGCAGGGAAGCGTGGATGAGCCCCAGCTGCGCAGTGCAGCCCAACATGGCCGAGGGGAGCAGAGCGTTCGCCCTCCTTGGGTCCTGCAGTGCATGCTTGGGATTCCAGCAGGCTGAGACTCCCCACCCTGTATCTCCAGCATTTATCTGGCACCAGTCTGTGGGTGCGAGGCGCCCATCCCCGGACTGGTCGGACGGGTCGTGATGGCAGCATTGGTGCTCACAGAGCTGCGGCCAAAGGGACCCAGAGCTGCTGTGTGTCTGCGTGGTTCCCATCGGAGAGCCGAGCTGCACTGCGTCACGGTGGTCGTGCAAGGATCGGCACCGAGTGCCGTATGAAAAGGAGCATTTTTCTGTGATTATTCATGTCTAATCTTTGCTGAGGAGGTTTTTTTTTGCCCTTCAGTAATCAGAACGTGTTTTAACAAATTGATAGCAACGTTAGCACGGCTTACGTGGGATCCGCGCCGCGCGCAGGGGACACTGCAGCTTTGTTCTCCTCGTCAGCTTACGGAGATCCGAGCTGCCGCTCCTATAGG